CCACCTTGTTGTTTGTGGAAATATAATATTCCTTACAATAAGCAGCAGACTGTTTCATTATGGTGCAGGAAATTCATCACACGAAAAATGTGTTCGACTTGCAGCAGGTTAATTTGACAAAATGTTGCTATTTTTATTAGCTAAAAACATTAACAAGGGAATAAAGTTTCCTGCATTAATTTGGAAACCGTACATTTATTTTTAATGATGAGATTAACATTTGTTTGATGCCGATCATCGTAATATAGCCACATAAAATAATGAAACGAAGCCTAAAAGTAAACTTTCCAGATTCATTCAATAAACAGTGGATATTATGTGTGAATGATTATCGCAATTCTGCGTCCTCCAAAATAAATCGATTTGGGAACAGAATGCGAATAACAGTGGCCAGTGAAGTGACACCAATTATAAAGATAAATATAGTTTTACCGACAAAATTTAAAAGTGCTCCAGATATTCAGTAGTTATGTTGCATTTATATACATACCTTCTTTTGAATAACAGACTGCAGCTCCTTTATGAAATCAATCTGAGCTCCTTAAGCTTACGTTTTGCAAGTCCAATCCAAATGTCGATCCACGTTTTTCAGAAGATTTCCTTACTATCTGGCCACATTCTCTTCTTAAGCGCCCTTCGATGCGTTCATTATCTTCTCTCAATTTCAATCCTGTTTCTTCGGAGAGAATTGCATTAAGAATTTCCACATACGTGCATGCTATATGTCATGTTTAAATTTAAATATTTCATGTATTTACTCTTTAATTTGTTGTTTCTTTGACTATTGATATATAATAAAACATTTATTTACTGAGACCTCGGGAAAACACTGTTTCCCTCGATCTCAGTAAATAAGTGATAAGTATTATTATATGCTGGAGTATTTATTAATACATGCGATAATTTTTAGTCAAAATAACTTGAACAAGCGCAACGTTCACAGTAAAATCGGATGGAGCCACCATGTGAATGCCTGGGTCTGCCCACGCTTGGATGATATCTTGCACACGTGTTGCATGCGCAATCTGTCAGTAATGCGTCTGTTAGAATATGCAACCCTTGTGTGAGTATTTTAGTAAATTCGGATGTTTGCTTCAAATCAAAATATAGTATATATGAGCGACAGATGTATCATTTGCAACAGCTGACCTGTCAACTGCTGATAAATAAAATCTTATACAGGGTGTATAAAAAAAAACTGAACAGATTTGAAATTGCTCTCAATTTTGCAAAACACCTATTTGTATCTGGTTTTTTATATATATAGTATCTTTGAAAGTCGCCTTTCGCATGCTTAATTAACGCCTTTACCTAATTTGCATATTGCTGACATATGCAAATTAGGCAAATGCATAATTAAGCATGCAAATAGCTGATTTTTCGGGAAAATTGTAACTTTGTGTGAATAGTTAAGGGGATTAAACAAAACCAAATTGTCTGAAATTTTGTACAGTAATTAAAATCCAGACAAATTTTCCATCTGTTAACTCAAAATATGATTGCAGCTTTTAAATTTTGTGCGCGAGCCATTTTTAGTTTGTTGGAAAAGACACACCCCCCTGGTTCACAAAATTTGAGTTCGAGAAATTTTTCTTATTATTCTACATTATAAGTACCCAAAGAGGCTATATATATAAAAAACCGGATACAAATAGCTGTTTTGCGAAATTGAGAGCAATTTTAAATCTGTTCAGTTTTTTTTTATACACTAGTGCTTGGATTATTCAGTATTAATTGTTGATTGTTTTTTATTTTTAATAAAAAATTGCTTGTGAAGCAATGAATGTTGTTATTGGAAATATAATATCCCTTACAATAAGCGGCAGACAAATTCATTATGGCGCAGGAAATTCATCACACGAAAAATGTGTTCGACTTGCAGCAGGGTAATTTGACAAAATGTTGCTATTTTTATTAGCTAAAAACATTAACAAGGGAATAAAGTTTCCTGCATTAATTTGGAAACCGTACATTTATTTGTAGATAACATTTAATGACGCGATTAACATTTGTTTGATGCCGATCATCGTAATATAGCCGCATAAAATAATGAAACGAAGCCTAAAAGTAAACTTTCCAGATTCATTCAATAAACAGTGGATATTATGTGTGAATGATTATCGCAATTCTGCGTCCTCTCAGTCACAAAATATACTGCTGCAGAGCCTCTGAATAAAATATATAATTTTTTGTGTTGTTTTTCGAAATATACAGAATAAATAATGAAAAGGGCTGGAAATAAAGTAGTTTTTGTTTTTTTGTGGATTAAAATGGCGGATCAAATTGTTACTGTTAAAAATATGTAACTTTCTGAAAATATATCATTACTGTTACAATAGAAGGCTACTTCTTTAACAGTCGGCTCTTTATTAAGTGACTTAGGCCTGGTTCAAACGTCGAATTTTGCATGTGTCGAATACAATTCGCATTTCATTCGAGCGAATTCAATGAAATTCGACGTTTGATTCAAACGTCACATTTTGCATGCATTTAATTCGAAATTGTAAGTGTTGTAGAGTGTAGACATGGCCCTTTGATAGTTTTAATTAATAGATTGACATTTATTTTTAACCTAGCTGTGGTTTAACGTAAACAACAAGAGCGAAGTTTCGCTCAAAAATAAACACAGTATGTCAGTAGGGCCATTTATACGACTGTACCAGTGAAATAAGCCGTCGCTCGTCTTATTTAAAGCACTAAAAAATACTATGTAGTCCCGTATAAATGTTCTTGTTCGCGACTTTATTTTCGCTTGTATATAAACTGACATCAGGCTATTATTTGTAAAAACTGCCGAGGAAATGTTGTTGCCATTGGCGAACGTATGCCAGTTAAAAGAATCGGACCCAAATGTGGTATCTCTCACTCAAACATTGCTTTCTTCGTCAGTGAACGCTGCTGTTATTTTCCGATCTGAAAGCCTGTTATGGCTTCAACGTATTCACCGAAGACTGGCGGGAAAGAGATCTATCCGAAGGCCATATTATTGTGAGATTTGCAGGGAAATGCCAGTTGAACTGTTTAACATCTTAGCTCGTTCCCTAAATATGTCTGAATTTAGAGCGCCTTTCTGTTATGTGTCAGGAAATAAAAAGGGGAAGGTGATTTCCTTTACCTTCCTTCCTCTCTTAAAACAATTTTTTCACTGGCTTTCTGGAAAAAGTTGAATGAGATCACTCAGTACTTTGATAGAGCATTGAGTGGCAATCGCAGAGGTCACAAAACAAGAGTACTGGTTTCTCCGACTAAAGATTTTGCCTTCACGTATAGCTTTTCAAAGGGACAAATGACTCTTTCGTTTAATTATGGTGAGTGGAACGGGTATGGATTCCCTCAACACGACTGTGATATGTAGAACTAGAAAATACATACTAGGTATAAACAAACATTTCTGGACTGTAGAAAAACAAGATGTTTAATAAATCTTTATTGTTAAAATGTTTAATAAACATTAATAAATAAAACTGTGTACCTGTACATCAATAGTATGTGAAACAGTTCTAACCGCCATGGTGTCCCCCACCCAGCTAACACCAGGGTGTAACTCAACCTTGGCGCACAAGGGCAGTCCAGCCACACTGTGGCTTATGCGAACGTACACTTTCGTTATAACAGCCACTAAAAAGTAGCACCTAAAAAGTGCATTTTGAACAACTTCACGAAAGCATCATAAATATTGTGTAAAACATTTTCAGATTCATTGGTGTTGTATTTGTGGAAGCAATTTTCTATCAAACTTTTTAAACTTTTTGCCATAATCTGCAATAAAAGTTTGAAATAATTAGTGTAATGTTTTTGAAGTAATAGCAATAAGAATAGTTCTGGCAATTCCATCCAAAATTAGTGTCTTATTTTATCTTTAACAACATGTATATAAATGTAACAAGGTGACAGTTATATACAACAAACAGGTGATGTCTGCCTAGTTGATTAATATAGGATAAAATATTTTTGAAATGTAGGCAATGAAGCTGTGGAGCTAATTACATCTACAATACTTTTTGCAATAATACTTTAAAAAGTTTTTCTCTTGCCATGTAGTATGTATCGTACCTTAATTAACATTACATCCAAAAGTATGCAAAAAGATTGCATGTATAAAACTTTTAAACCTACCATTTAACATGTCGAAGGCAAACCTACTATTTCTTGCAGAGTTTTTCCCAGTATTTGGCATGATAAACAAATTAACAGAGCTTTTTTAGTTGCTTCAATATATTAACGGGGAAGGTACACTGTATTTAACTGCCAGATGCAACTATGATGACGCCTGTTTAACTTTGTTAAGTATAACATCCCTCAGTTTATGTTCGCAAAATGTGCATTTTGAAATCTGTGGAACTTTTTCCATCCCGCAATAGCAATAATTTGGAGTTTCAGTGGCACGTTTTGGGATATAATGCACCGATACTGATGAGGGCTTGTCAATATTGTAGCCCCTTTCCCTCAGCCACAAATTAGATATATATTCATGACGGAACACTTGTTCCCACCTATTCCTGTAAATGGTGTTTTGAGAGTATCGGGCTATTGAAATATGTTTGGCTTCCCTGCCTTCCATCGAATTGAGCGCAAGGCCCATGCCATATTTTTTCTTCATTTCCTTCATGTGGTGTGGAACAATATGGGCTAAATGCCACACGGTTGGGTGGTGAGAGAAGAAAAGGCAATTAAGTGTAAATAATGTCCTACAATGACTCTCAAGCTCAACCAGGTCTGTGTCTGTGATTTCAATACGACTAAACAAAGAGACACAATTTCGCAAAGTGAGACAAAAAAAAGCAAGCACATGAATTGTAAAGTGCCTCTTAGTGCCTGGTTGTGTTGACAGCTCCACAACCCCTATGAGATACATAAAATTATGTAAAAATCCCCTGGATTCTTTACCAGTAAATCTGTAGTCAAAATTCTTTCCTTCGGCTTGTGTCTCGTTGAACCACTTTATAATTTTTTTGGCAAGTCTAGAAAGGCAGCATTTGGTTTTCATTACACCTATATACCTGACAATCGGAGAACTAGATGGAATCTCAGAAAAAATTTTGATGGCTTTTGGGAGGCTAGAAATGGCAATAACCTCATCTAGAAGGTAGCGATGAGCAAGGGCGCAAGCATTATTCTTTAAGTGTAGTGGTTCAATGTGAATTCGATCAACAATGGGACCTAACAGGGGAATAAACTCTTGCCGGCTTTTCAGTTTTGCAATTAATGATGTGATCTTAGATCTTTTAGTGCGATCTGCCATTTCTCCTTCGAAAGTGTTTTCTTTAACCCTCTACCTTCTTAACAACAGTTAGTCTGGATGAATACTCCCAAGGATGCCAGGTGTTTTTTACCCCAAAAGTCCCCTTGACTTCATTTGCACTATCATTACTAAGTCTGCAAATGAGGAGAAATGTTTAGCACTATTGCTTAACTCCCCACTTAGAAAGGCTACATTTTCATGTCATTTGGGAGTTCAGCTACGCAAAATTTAACATTAACAGTTACCTCACCCTCGGGCCCATCATACAAACACGGGAATACACTTTGCTCAATATGTTGAATATCGGCGGGTATAACCACTTTTGCCAGACAAGTAAAACTCTGCAAGACGTAGGAGCAGCTCCTTCAAGCTACGATAACAACCGCATACTTTATCATCTTCATCACAAAGAGTATCGTAAACACTGTAAATATTACCTACATTTACCGATTTAATAAATGGCATAAGCTTGTCAGAAAGATGGACACGACCCTTTGTCTTATAACAACTATTTCGGTATATTTTTCGATATTTCTTTTTACCAGCTATGCCTCCACAATAATAGACACTAACGCTTCTGATCATATTCTCTTCTGAAGACTCATATGCTTTTAAATTTCCTTTGTATATAGACGGCATAACATGCTTGGTGAATTTTTTGTTGGCAGACATTACATCGACTAATACATTTGAACTACATTTGTTTAAGGCAGTGTCTACTAAACCTACAGCTCCTGGTACTGAACTTTCCTGCTACCTCCATGGATTTCCTGGGCAACCATAAAGGTTTCCTTCCTTCTCATCCTTGCATTAGGTGTTGTTAGTGTAATTTTACCATTCTCAAAACCAGTGGGATTGTCCTTTCTACTCTGCAGTGCCTTTTCAGACAATTGACTAGCTCGACTCTTTTTATCAGGTTGTCTCAGCTCTTGCTTAATATCTTCAAGGTCTTCTATCTGACTATGTTCTCTACCTATCACAAACAACAGTTTAGAGTAAGGAAATATTTTGATAAGTACTTATATACTATATAGTTAATTTCTACATAGTACACACTTTTAAATTAAGGTTTGAAAATGCCAATAACAGGGCACGTTTTATTCTTACTATACTTAATTTACATGTGAATATTCGCTATTAAATGCGGCATATTGAGGCCGTGTAACCGTAGGCCTTATCAAATCGTGCGAATAAACAAGATTCAAATCGAAATCCACCAAACAAAAAACAACACCTTATACATGAAAGTTCACGTTATTCACAACAGGTAAAGTTCCTTTCAAACAGGCAGTGGTGTCCAAAATAAAACAAGGGTGAAAATCCCATCTCCACAATCCAAAGTGACAACAACAAAACTTCGCAATGTTTACTCGCTCACGATGCAAAAACAGATTTGTAAACCTATACACATTTGGTGTCAAAACGAAGCTCTAGTCAAGCTACGTTAAATACACGTAACCGATTTCAAGACGGCTTTAACCGATCGCTGTATGACAACGCGGAAAAGTAGCTCGGTCGACTATCGTAATTTCGTACTCAGGTTCAATTATTGATATTCGGCAACATGGCGGAACATGCACGAACGCGCGTGGATTTTTCCCGCATTTTATGGCCGGCGTGATTGCTCTTGATTATATCGCTCTTCTTATACCTGCGTCAAGTCAGAACAAGGGCAGGACCTTGAAAACATTTATATCAAGAGCTGAATCTGCCCTCTGGTTCAGTAAGCATTTTGGTTTGGATGTTGACAGCATGCTGGTAAAGGAATCAGATACAGGTAAAAAACATACAGTTTTGGAAGCTGGCACTAAAGAAACCCAAGATCCAACTGCTAATTCTGAGCCTGGTGAAAGAAATCCTGTTTGTTCTCGATAAATTTTGTGTCGGTGATGCATGTTACCATGAATTCACCATGATCACAAATGGCTTGCCAAAGTCCTATCTTATACAACAATGTAGAAATGACCTGAACAAGTTCTGCCGTATTGATCCTCTCCCAGGAAAACTTCCTGGGTCTAAAGTTCATTCTCTCAGAGATGTAATAAAGGATCATGTTGTAAATGGCAAAGAAGAGTACAGTACTCTGAAAGAGTCATTTGGGGAAATATTTAGTGAAATCAGATCATGATTACAAATACTTCAACATACCCCCCATGGCCAGAACATTGCAACAAATCAGAGATCTGCTGCAAGATTCTAACAATAATTATGGATGCATTAAAGCCCCATACAAACCCCTCCTCTCAACATTGCAAAGATGACCGTTCCTCAGCTAAAGCACCAACTGAAACAGAAGGGGATAAAAGGGATTTCAAAAAAGTCAAAACAAGAGTTAGTTGACATGTTAACATCTATAATTTAACATTGTTTGATAACACTATGATCAGCTGGTAGATCAAATTATTTCTCATCAGGGTTTTGCATTGACTTTATACTTGAGCTACTTTTCTCCAGTCATGGCAGAAAATGGCTTACAGCTTACTTGATCCGAATTTAAAACAACACACTGCATGTATTCATTTGCTCATTATTTTTAACTAGCCACAAATACTTGCTTTAAGCCTATTTTTAATTTATACAAATAATTTTGGGAATCGGCAGGCTAAAACACCATGTCTGTTTTGGAGGGACCACCAAAGATTGCTCACATTGATGTGTGTGCATGATTGCAAAACTGGTTTATATTTTAGATTTTTTAACTTTAACCCATTAAGCATCAGCACTCTCCCCTTGACGAGTAACATCGTCTGGTATTAGACAGAATAAAATAATAAAGTAGGGACATCAGGGCGTAATGCGCATTAATGGGTTAAAGTAGCCTCCTCCGCAGGCCTCTCTATGGGTTCTAGCCTGCGAATGGGGTTTGAAAAAAAAAATTTCTGGGAGAGAGGCCTGCCATAAATCGAACAAAATGGACGTGTCAATGTACCTTGTGGCCGTGTCAATGTACCCCACCCCCTACGTAGGCTTTTGACCCTAATTATATATTCAGTTTGAAATCTTCAGGCGAGGAGCGAAGCTTGCGAGTATTAACTTTAAAAATGTTTTATAATGCATCAAAATATTCAAGTTATACTAAAATTAGTTGGTCAATTGAAAGGATTATATATCGCAATGTCTCTCACGGTCTAAAAGCGACGTGAAAATTTAATTGAATCTCTCCTCGAAGCAGCCAAATGGCCCAAATGTTTACAATGTATCAATTGTTCAGCCGAGGAACTACAATTTGAGGAAATTATCTGGCATAATTTCGAATGCAAAACGAAGAATGGAACGATACGAAAGGTATAATTGTTTAATAAAGGGATTATATTAAATTGTATTGTTTTCTGGAATATTATTTTGGCATGTTTATTTATATGAAGGGGTTGACATTTTGATTATATTTTACTAATTTTAGTCAAATCATCAGACATTTGGCAACATGTTAAGTGAACTGATATATAAAAGGAAAAGATCTTTCTGTTGAAGCAACCATTTCAGTAAGTGAGGAGAGATAACAACTTGGAAATATCAACTACAGAAATTTGATTACTACAAAATTCAAGATTTTGTTGGCATCCTATAAGTCTGGTTTACATATGCCTGCATTATCATTGTTTACAGCTGTTGATGCATACATTCTTTTGTGAATTATTTAGTTGAACTTTTAACAACAATAGCGCATCAACAAACAGCAGCTATATGTGAACCAGGCTTCACTTGGTTGAATAGTTAACTGGAACTCACCCCCTTAATTAATATCATGTGAATATGCTAAACCATTAAGTTGGATTGTGACACATGTAACAACCTCTTTCTATTATAGTATATGCCTAGTTGTGTTACACGTACTGGCCACATGACATCCATGATTTGATAAATAAAGAAATTGATGATGTATCTGTATATTCTCTAATTATATGTATGTCCCTTGTTCATGTTTAAATAAAATTGCTCTTGACATATATTTGTTTTAAATATAATAAATCTATTCATGATAAAGCAAAAAATATTAGAGACAAAATGAGATATTGTACACAGTACACTTGTACCACAGGAGGTGTTTTGCCAAATTGTCAAAATACTGCTGTTGCTGTATGTTAATGGCGGGCTGCACACATGACTTTTACCCATGTAAATATTTTGTCTGGAACTTTGGCAAGCAAAATGGATGTCTCCAAGGTTAATTAACAAATCCAAGGCAAATGTTATTAAGACAGGTCTTTATACCCTGTTGCACCACATGGAAAACTATTAGATTGTTATTAAATTCCAGTTGTCCTTTCCCTTATGTCTACATAACTCACACCCATATATAAAACAGGGCCACTGATTTAAGAAAGCTTTTGCTAATCACTCAAGTTTGAAAACTTTGTCTTTGTCCATTGGGACCAAGGGATAAATTGCACAGTGTATTCCACAATAAGAAAGCTATTTGTTTGAGACTTTTATTAATGATTTCCTTCCATACAAGCTATTAAAACAAGGCAAGAGGTGTTTATATATTTAATACGCAGTCACAGTGTCAACAGTAGAATTTACATTTATATTGACAATTTTCAATCGTTCCTTTTCGTGTTATAATTTCGACTAAATCACTGCACTTTCAGATTATTATGATATAAAATGTCGTCAACAATTTGAATAGAAATTTGTATATATCAACGATAAACTTTCAATTGAAACCTTGTCTTGAATGTCTTGACGACGACGCCTGAATTCACTGCTCTGCAAAGTCACTCGTTGTCTCTAAACAATCCCAGTAAATCGCTGCCTTGGCTCACGATAACGTTCTCAGCTCCTTAGTCAAAGTTCCCTTTGTATTTGCAATGTTGAAGAGCAGGATTATTCGTTAATTTTACAGTTTTACTCGTCTTGTAAGCCATCGTGTTGATAACAAAATTTTCTTCACTCCTTGCGTAAGCCCTTCCTACTCCCCCTAAGTTTGAGTTTGTCGAAATTTGCATGTGCGAGCCGGTATGCGCAGTGCAAATTTTTGTGTCGATTTATGGCAGGCATCTCACCAAACTTTTTCCCACCACCCGATTCGTCGGGTGAGATGCCTGCGGAGGAGGCTAGGGTTAAAGTTACATTCAAAATATACAGCTATGGAAACTATGTTGAAAGAACCGAAAATGGTTGCCGTATAAAGTCAACTAACAGTTTCTCTTGAGGCATTCTTGGCGCAGGGATTAGAATGCCATTCTGTATCACCGAGACTTTGGATGACCAGGATAAAAGGGAACGGATCTTGATCGGGTATTTTATGATAACTCCATCACCATTCGTATCCAGACAATGATCCCATCCAGTAAAAAATTGAAGTTTTGCTAACTATTCACACAAATATTGTCAACTCAGTAATTGCCCTGACTTTAAAACAGGCCAAGCAAAACGTCACATATTATTTTTGCTTTTTTGTGTCCCTGGTTGTGGATATCACTTTTTGTGAACTGTTAACCAAGTAAAAAGCATCGCACCAACATGAAATTTTGAGCTAATGAGCGATGACAATATTTATCAGGGAATAAATGTTGATAAATGGGCAAGGTCACCATTTTATACCTGATGAGGTCTGGAGTAAGATCTTCCTCGTCTTCCCAAGAACAATTAAACAAACTGTAATTTTTCCATTTTATTAAATATTTGTTCTGTAAGATAAAAGGAAGACAAATATATTCACCCACTGCATGTTAATATCATGTAAATTTGTGACTATTAACTGGCAAGCTGTTACAATGTTACCACCCCCTAAAGTGGCAAGCAATATGGTGAATTCATGATTGAATTCCAAGCTTTCACCAAAATGGCAATATCTCAGAAACAATTGCATAAAAAAGTCTGATCTTTTCAACCAAACATGAATGATATATGATTGACCAAATTTAGTTTAGATGACCTTGCATACCTATATATATCATTAGTTTTTTCAGTCAGTATTTTTATTTATAAAGCAGTGACACTTTGTTTTTCATGTCACTCATCACCTAAAGGGGCAATATCTCCATAAATTTATATAAAAACCAAAAAAAAATTCATTTACTAAATTAATACATATCTATATTACAACCAATTTTCATCTTTTGGGATATGAATTACGAAATTATCAAAAAATTTAAAAATTACTTCTTTGCTTTTTTGGGGCATCTTGTTTACAACATGAAATTTAGAACAGTAACTAAGTGTTCAAGTTCAAGAAAGTGTGCAAGCCAAAACACAGTGTTTGTACATCTTTAAAGTTTTTTGATTGCTTCAAATATATTTAAAAGGACACATAGTGCTTAAATTTATTTATTTTAATATAAACCAAGGATGGGAAGGTGAAAAAATGGGAATTTTCTGAGGTGTTTTTAATACAGACAATGACAGCCGACATTTTGAAAGGCACTCTGCGGTGACAAAACTAAAAGCTATTCACTTCTGTCCTCAAAGCACTGAAAAGCATCATAAAGAGAAAAACACTTTAAACACATGTCAGGTAAGACTTTTAGCTCAATATTTTCATGCTTCTATTGGGAAAGCAACGGTTTAAAAGCCAAAATTATTTTGCGCGCCAATGTAGGCTGCTATAAAATGTCAGACACGCGTTCTCTTTTGAAGTCTGGCTCTGAAAAACAATCGCTTTTTTTTAGTTTGAAATAAGCTTTCATTAGGACTAATTGTGTAGAAATGTTATCTGTATGCTCAAATGAAAAAGATAACCTAATAGGCAGGTATTCAACATAGCTATAAAAGGGTGAAATAAGGACTTTCATCTTTGGTTGTTTGTCAGACATGAGAAACCACATTAGTGCCATTTTGTCGCGCGTGCTATTTTATAAAACTAGGAGTTACTATCGCAAGGAAAATGCTGCCGATATGTACATGTAGGATGTGCTACAAAAAGAGCGTTTTTCACTGTATGTATGATTTATTGTCTTACACATCGTCGTTCCTCAGTTACCTTCGTACAATTATATCTTACATCTAATCCTATGAAAAGTATATTTTAATATACTTAACAGTGCGACTTTGATAGTTGACACATAATATAAATGATAAAATGTGAATATTATTGAATGATTTTGTCACTTGTACAACTTTTACTTTGGCTATTCAAACAATTGATTTAAAATAGTTGAATTTATACTTACTGGGATGTTATTGCTTATTGGGATGTTGAAATTATGTTTGTTTTAAATACATTTAATTGATATTCCATAAATTCATTTTGTATGATTTCATTGACCTTGACGTTGTTCAAAATCATTTTGTATTGTATTGAAACTGTATGTCTATGACCTATGTTATGTACTATATTAATCCATTGAGTCGCATTGCACCCTGATGCACCCTACTTTGAACAGTATTTTACTCTGTCTAACGCCAGACGATTTTACTCGTCAAGGGGAGAGTGCTGGCGCTTAATAGGTTAACTGATCTATCTGCCCATGTGTCTAGTTAACCCATTGGGTCGCATTGCACCCTACTTTGAACAGTATTTTACTCTGTCTAACGCCAGACGATTTTACTTGTCAAGGGGAGAGTGCTGGCGCTTAATGGGTTAACTGATCTATCTGCCCATGTGGCTAGTTAACCCATTGGGTCGCATTGCACCCTGATGCACCCTACTTTAGTATTTCACTCTGTCTAACGCCAGAGTACTTTACTCTGTCTAACGCCAGACGATTTTACTCGTCAAGGGAAGAGCGCTGGCGCTTAATGGGTTAACACGCCCAAAATCTGTACTAAAACTGCTAATTCTGTTTTGTGATTGGCACAGTTTAATCAAAGAATCCTCCCGTTGAACCAGAGCCTTCACGATATTTCAATTTATTATTAACTGAAGGCTCTGGAATCCAGGATAGCTTGCCATTGAATACAGTGCAATGCTTATATTTCTGAATGAATAAGATCATACTCAGAACAGTCAGAACTGCAAAACTATATTGTTAGAAAGAAGTTGAAGTTGTGAGCATTATTGTGGTAACACAGCCATATGTATATATCAATGTATGTCAGTAGAATCATGTTTATAGGCTTTATATATAACTGAGGCCTTATACAAGTCATATCTTATACAAAAGTCAGTTGATATGCTATATTACATGTAATTGCTGATAAGTCCATATATGCAGACAACAATCCACACTGGGTAGCTCTAGGAATCTTGTTAAGCCTGATTTAACAACATCCCGCGTTTGTTTTTAAACTATAAACATTTAGAAACAGAACGTACCGAACACTATTATACACTCACCGCCTTTGGCTTTGCACATATTAAGTGACATAACAAACAAATAAACTAAAAGTTCATTTGCTTCTTGTATCAGCATAAAGGCATTAATCATTACTGTCGATTTGGTCGGGAATAGATCAGTGGTTCAGTGGGTATTATAATTGCCGATATATTCTTGAAATCATTTTGTTTCAATGCCTCTATATCGAAGTTTAATACACTAAAGTGACTAAACAAGTATAAACAGCAGATTTAAATATAAATGCCTTCATGTATTATAAAATATATCACCAGACAGGTAGACAGGGCACACGGCACGACTACATCACTATACGAGAACGAAATAAAGCCATCCTTACCTGAATTATTCAAAATATTGTCGATCATTCTTGCGCCAGAGACACAAAATAACACCGTGCTTTATTTACCCATTCATCTTCACAAATATTACTCGGAATTTTTATGGAAATTCGCATTATTTTATGATTTTTATATTTCTGTCCGTTTATAACAGTCGCCATGTTGTGAACAAACCCCCCCGGGAACAAAAAAATAATATCAAAACAGCTAGTTTTGGCCCGTCCGTGGATGACAGAATGACATAAATCGAGATTGTAGCGGCTATAAACTCGGCGGTCACGTGGTAAGCACACCACGTGTAGAGATTAGTGTGCTGCCGAGCTACGCTCGGCAGCAATAAACACCTCAAAACCATTAACTTTTAGTTCAGAAAATTACAAAGTTTCCCATAGACGTTATTAAAAATGTTCTAGTGAAACGATTTCATGATAAATAAGCGAGCAATGGGCTATTACATTAAAAAACCAAACCCCCCCTGTCGAGGACCTCTGCTTTTGGGGAATTTTACCCCTCTGGAATGCAAAAAAATCTGTGTAATTGACCCCTCTGGAAGAGACTTGAACCCCCTCTGGAAGGGCATTTTTGCTTTTTAACCCCTCTGGAAAGAGCATTTTTCTTCCATTTTTCCCAACTACCCCTCTGGAAAAAATGACTAATTTCCCCTTTGGAAAATGAGGTCCTCGACAGGGGGGGTACGGATATTAAATGTAATAGCCCAATGGGCCCGAAAGGACGGCTAAATTATGTTTTTGGTGGGACTTCAGTTTCATGGCTTCCCGCAAAGGAAGCCATTTCAGAGAGAAGCGACAACAACGGCAAACAACCGTCGCGACCAAATTTTGATAACTTTTCCTTCTGATTCAACATGTAGTTACTAGAAAATGAGGTTGGATCAACATTACTATCTGCCTTATCAATTTAAAGTTTTATGGGGATATAAAACCCAATACAAAAAGCATTTTAAAAGCATTAGAACTCAAGTGCGGACTTTTTGAGAATTCGCACGCGGCAAGCAAGCGCATTAATTCAATACACTTATTTCAAACCACAATATGTCTGAAACGAGTTGTCATCTTAAGACTAAATTGATGAAAATAGATATAACAGTGATTTTGGAGTACCCTACTTACTTAGTGTAATTTAATACTCGAAGTATTCTTGCCAAATAGGGCACGTACGCACACAGTAATTTAATCTGGTGTCGTTTGAAACATACTTTAGCTAAAAGAACAACTTGAACAAGAAGACCAACAATGGGGTTACGAAAACAGTCGAAATTGTGCCCAAATTTGCATAAACAGTTCGTCTAAAAAGATAACTTTAAACTAGATTCAACCAACATTAACGCAGTCGAATTTTGTGAGTGTTTGATCGCATATTTCTACTCAAAAATACCCTTAAAAATATCGTATCTGCTCACTTGAGTTCCGTGTTCATCTTTCTTGTGATTTCCGACTTCTATTTTTAATAAAGTTTGGAGAAATCCTCATCTTTTTGGCTGAAAATCTCGCGCATGGTTCACAGAAAAACTTGGCTCCAAAACGTCAATACATTCGCTTTCCTTTCATGCCAAATTTTCGTTGTAGTTGATTCAGAAACCTCTTCTTTTCTTGCTTTTAAAACTTGCTGTAAAATCTTTCTTTGTAACAGAATCGCCATTATTCATTATTTTTGGAAAACTAAGATTTTAAACTTGAAAAACTTTGCGAGTTTCTGACCGATTCTCTTGCATGATACACCGTTGAAAAGCTCGAATTTCACGTTCTATTTTCGTATCCGTTGCTAGGCAACCCGATAAACACGTGCTCAAATATCATGCCCGCAAGTTAAGGTGTCATGCCAGGGCGCATTCGGGCGCATTGTCCGTTACCCACTTGTCAATCCCAGGGCGCATACGGGCGCATTGGGCGTTAATGAGTTAATTAATAGGGTATAAGAGTTATAATTAGTTTACATGTACTATAAATATGCGACTAAATTGGGTGACAATCAGGGAATAATACATAGATGCCTTAGCTGATTTAAGATTCATTAACTAGTTTAATCAACTAGTTTAACCCAGTGAGCCGCAATGCACCCCAGTGTGCCCTACTTTTTTTTTACTTGTCTAATCCCAGACGATTTTACTCGTCAGTGGGGAAGCTCTGCAGCTTAATGGTTAACCAAAAAAATTGACAATGTCTCTAGTTAACCCATTGAGCTGCAATGCGCCCCAGTGCGCCCAGTACTTATTTTTTTTACTTGTCTAACGCCAGACGATTTTACTCGTCAGTGGGGAAGCTCTGCAGCTTAATGGGTTTAAATCAGGTAACTAGTTCAATCAGTGAGGTAAAAAGCTGTCAACCTAATTAATTCTTTGCCAATATTTTCCCAGACTGTATATTTCTATACACACGAGGAACTATGCATGATAATCCTGTAATTATACATACTGTTCAGCGTCCGGCTCCATTGAAGCAATGTCTTCATTTGTAGGTTCAAAGAAGTCAAAAACAAGATCAGATTGCGAGATCTTCGCAGGAAGTTTTATCAAACTCTATAAAAAAAATTCAATAAGTAACAATTTATTACTTTTTTATTCAAACATATTTGGAATGCATTTGCCCTAAAAGGTTCAAGTGTCAATTAGTTCATCAACAGGGCTTTTTTAGTCATGCTGCCTTTAGGGTGGGACGGTTCAGGGTAAAAACAAAAAACCGTCTGAAACACAAACTGATTTATATACGGTATGAATTACTTAATATGTTGACCAACATAAAGTCTGTTTTAATTTGTATCTACAGAGTGAGTGAGTGTGTCTGTCTTTGCGTCTAGACATAACTTCCTCTTCTGTTGAAATAATCAAGCATGCAATCCTCTTATCCGCTTAGCTTCAATATGCTTCATGATTTTTCACAAATACAATGTGCAATTACCGTCATTTCATTTCAATATATATTACTGAGTTTCAAACAATTTTTCCAAATGTTATCCGTTTTTTTCCTTGAACAACATTTGGTTGAATTGCAGGGTTTTCAGTTTAGGCCAGCGAACAGCGAATTTCGCCTGACTTCTTCATTCAACCCCACCCAAATTCGCCAGAGCTTTTACGTTTAGTCACATCTCTATTATGTGTACTCGCCCAAATTTGTAAATTATATCGGTAGAAATAATATCTATCACCATAGCTTCATCGCCATTAGCCAGAGCCTCACACAAAACTGAAAACCCTGAATTGGTTATCAAAAAACATTGTTTTTTCCAGTTTATCGATTGACTGCCTCACCCTACAGTTTATCGATTGACTGCCTTACCAGTTTATCGATTGACTGCCTCACCCACAATTATAGTGAGTCAACTTAAGGCTCAACAATATGTGTAATTAACCCATTAAGCTGCAGAGCTTCCCCATTGACGAGTAAAATTGTCTGGCATTAGACAAGTAAAAAAAAATAAGTAGGGCACACTGGGCACATTGCGGCCCAATGGGTTAACTTAGAGACTGATTGTCAGATTTTTTGGTTAACCATTAAGCTGCGTAGCTTCCCCATCGACGAGTAAAATTGTCTGGCGTTATAGACACATAAAAAACTAAGTAGGGCGCACAGGGGCACATTGTAGCTCAATGGGTTAACAAATGAACATGTTTTATTAACTCAAGAATCCTTAAACTTTTAAGTAAAAAATCCAAAGCCTACCTGACAGTATTCATTAATAGGTTCCTTTCTTTTCTCTGCAACATCACGTATGTTGCTTCTGCCAAAAATAATTTTTCCTGTCAAAAAATAAAAGTTAGAGAACTTTATTGCCTTACATGAATTACCATTTATTAAAACATACTGTAAAATAAAATATGGAATCTTTGTTTTGTTCGGAGCATGATAATCAGCAATTTACTAAAGGTTGCATGATTGTTAAGTTAATATATGTATATGATATTCTGTATTTTTTTTATGTCATGTGCTGACACATCCTGTGATTTCTTTTCAAACGTTTACCTGGCAAAAATGGGAGGGACCTCAATGAAGGATCTTTAACACCACCTTCATCTGGAAATTCTTCAAACAATCTTGTCTAAAAAATATAGATGTCAAAAAATGTATTTAAATTAATAATATACGAAATATTCCGGCATTAAAGAAATTGGGCAAATTAGGGTGTTCAATTCAGGGATATTTACGGGCACTTTTCTTTAGAGCTGTGCACCAGAGTCGGAGTGCCGGAGCTCTGGCATATTTTGTCGGAGCCGGCAAAAACTCCGGCAGACAAAATTATGAAAAATTATTTCATATTTCAACAAACATTTAGCATTAAATGGGAAAATTAAGTTGTTGTTTATTAATATATTACTATTTATATGTTGTTTTACTATATATTGCTATGTGGTTTACTATTAATAGTGTTGTAAAAAGGTTTTTTAAAAAAAAAGATAAATTCTGAAATTACACTGAAATATTTTGGTAATCGTTCCATGTTTCGCGCACCAATATAGTAAACGTTATGTAATGGATATTATAGTGTACTGAAAAGTTAACTGGATACCTCCATACACGTATATACACACCCTAACCCTATCCCTAACCTTAAACCTAACCCTAACCTAACCCCTAACCCTAATACCTAACCCCTAACCATAATTGGTGCGCGAAACAAGGAACGATAACCAATATTTTGCCTGCTTCCACTTTTAAATATTGAATTTCCTTAAAAATTTCTTGCCGGACCCGGAGTTTTGACTGCCAGAGCCGGTGCCGGAGCTAAAATAACCGGAGTTTGCACAGCTCTACTTTTCTTAACTTTTCGGTATATGGTAGTGAATACTCAATCTTCAATTGAGTTTTGAAACTCAATCTTCCTCGGTTGCTCCATAATTATCTTTTTTACAATACACCCAGAAGAAATTGTGGCAAATGCGAATATTTAGTGATAAAAGGAATAAAATATTTGATTCTTGTATCTATGAAGTTTAATTTAATACTGCAGTCCGCCAACTGACACATGAAAAATGCACATACAGCCGAGGCAATTTAAGCACTGCAGCAAAGCACCTCCTTCGAAAAATATTGTCAGCAAATATGAGGCTACTTCATGTAACAACAAGTCATAATGGAATCGGCAATGGTGCCAAAATATTTTAGCCCCCTCCCTCCTAGGTGGCAAAGGTGGCAAATTAGGTAATTCTGAAGTTTAGTCTTTGATGATAGTACTGTAATTAATTTTTAAGGGTCCGAGACTCTTGTACATTACATTACTCTGTCTAATGCAGGATGATTTTACAGTACTGGTCATGAAGATGCACAAATTACCTGCAAATCAAAAAATCTACTATATCTCCTAAAAATCACAATCACACTATTGTCTGACCAAGTGACATTGATAACATAAACCTGAAATAAAAGATTGAAATATTTACGTTGTATCATTAAACATTGTTTTACAAATTATGCTACTGTACAATATACCACCCAAGGTTGTATCTTAAGGGGGGGGGGGGTTCGATTCGCTTTGCCCAACAAAAGGGATGTGGTCAGAAAAGAACGTAAAGATGTTGGGAAAACTAAAAAGGTTTATGAGGGTCCACAGGAATAGCATCTGAACACCAGGGCCGTAGCTAGATGTGATAATTGGGAGGGGGGATGTATATTCATATTACAGTATATTCATGTTTTATACATACCATAAAAACAATCACTTTCAAAAGACGTCTGTTGAGTAGAACACAAATATATGAATATACACACCCCAATAGTGGTCTATAGTTACAGCCCTCAGATCAACACATCATCGTCGTTCTAAGGCCTACTCTATGTTGCTCTCACAGTGACTTGGTCCTATGGGCCCATGATGTGAAGGCACAAGTATCGAGTGCCAAAGGCATGAGCCGCATGGGGGTATCTAGCTCCCACAGAGAATTGTGAAACACCATTTCATGCACTTTGGGGGAAGATTTTACAGGATTCTGATGGTCAGAAATGACAAATGTTAACAGAACAGCATATTTTTAAAATTGCTCAAATTGGACTTCTAGGTTTTCTTATTCTGACTCAACATGATTTGAATGTATTTTTGCCCAACAAAATTATTGAATACTTGATAAATTTGCCCTACAAAATAGCTTCCTCAAACATCTCACGTCGAATTAAGTTATGTTCCAAAGCATATATTTTCAAGAACTGTAAACAGTAATATTAAAATATAATATATATTATAATGTATCAATTTAGGTGATCATATTTCACAAAATTATATTATATGTTTATTAAGTGGAGAATGTATTAATTATATTTCAAGTTCTCTCGATCGTATCAGATTATTACAGTGTAATAAGCCGGCTCAATTAAATTAGACCAAAAATAAATATTGATCAAAGTGTTGAATTAAAAGATTAATTTTAGATATTTAATCACATTTTAGATTTAAATTAAGCCCCATTTTCTTAGCGTATAAAACTATATCTAAAGAAAGAAAGCAATAATCGAAATTTCATTTCAAAACAATATTAAAACACAAGACTCGAAATTTATAACATATAGTGTCACATACATAATGCTTGGTCGGTTTTCGTCTTTTCTGATACTCGACAACAACTGCATTTTTCACACTTCTTGAACTCATGTTTTCTCCTTCAAAATGTGTCCAAATATTCCCATCAGTTTTCAGACACCGACATGAAAACACTATTGAAAGTTTGACAACCCCGCAATTTCACTTGAGTCGAGTCACTTGGTCACTTGCTTCCTTGCTTCCTAGCTACGTGCTACTTCCGTCTGGTCACAGATCATGTTTCCGCCCTACTGTACCGGGGCAAAGTTACCACCGGCAAAGTTACCCTGTGGTGTATTTCGAACATGGGGGCATTTTGGGTGGCTCAAAAGAGAGGGGAGACGTATTTGTTACTTGTGAGGGGGCTAATATATCAAGGATATACGGTGTTATCATTTAAAATTTAAAGATCCAATAACATAAACTGCCGGTAGCCGGTGTTGGTATTGTTCTGGTGTAACAGATCGTGGGGGTTTTTCTTCGAGGGTTATTTAATTCGGCGTGCCACCCACACGTCGTCTGAAAAGCCAGTCCACAAAAGGCAATATAGGAAGTGTTTATTTTTAAGCTTGACCTGGGTCGTTTTCCATTGTGAATCATTATCCACTAGCTGAGTAGAAAAATACGTGGAAAAATATGACGAGGTTTTCGAGGTTATTCGGAGGTCGTTAACTATATTATGCTAACATTTGCCCGAATCTGGGACTGACAACAGGCAAAATATTGCTTAAAATAATCGAGACATCTTGCTGATAATAACATGCAATCTCTAAATCTTGGCTTGCCCTGTCACGGTGTTACCCGTCTGTCTACTTGAACTGAAAACGTAACTGATAGACCCTGATTAGAAGTCTACTTTCAATTCGTTACTTAAGCCCCGTTTACACTAAGCTCAATTTTTGGTAAGGAACGGATAAAATTGGTACCCATACCACTTTTTTGGTTCTTGGACAAGAACCAAAAAGTGGCAGTGGCGCCGTGGGACCCTTGTTTTTTTTTTTGGGGGGGGGGCCAAGGGCTGTACTTTTCCGACAAACCTGAAAATAATTTCCGACAGAAATTTTTCTGGCGACCTCCCCCCCCCCGTCGACAAAAGAATTTCGGTCAGTGTACCATTTTAGGGGTCAAAAAATTTTTCCGGACATACCAAAATTTTTCGTTACATCTTAAAATTTTTCCGGAAATCACCCATTTTCTCAATTTATCAAAAAATTTCCGAATTTACCAACGTCGGAAATAGTTTGCCAATTTCCGACAACGTTGTCAATTTTCCAAAAATTTCCGACAACACTCACAATTTTCCGACAGGTCTTCACAGTAGGGGGGGGCATGCCCCCCCCCCTGGCCCCCCCGGCCACGGCGCCACTGAAAAGTGGTACGGTCCCAAAAATTGAGCGTAGTGTAAACGGGGCTTTATTTTGCTGCGCAAACCTCGGTTTCGAAAAAAGAGAGAGCTAAATACCCAGTAATGATGTATGACTACATTATTCTTGAACTGTTGACTGCATGCAATTCACTCAGCATTTGTCATGATCACACGCAATATATAGCCGACACAGTCTTCTCTATTTTCTTGTAACGGTATAGGCGCGCCAGTGTTTATCAGTCTATTATTTTTGAGAAAAGAAATAAAATTTTAGTCTTTCTACCTAGAAATCAGTCATATTTTCCTATCACTCCGTTTCTCAAGCCGGCATTTTTACACGGACAAAACTATATTTAAATTTTTATTTTCTAATTTAAATTAACAAAACTTAATTAATTTTCAAGAGTAGCTGGGGAGTCATGTGAATGCCCGAATGATCGATGTCGCATAATTCGCTCACAAAGCGCATCATTGAACTAGACATAATTGTGAAAGCAATTTTTAGCTGTAAACTAGATCTGACGTCTTTTTCAATCGCTGCGTAGAAACCGGTGGCTTTCAGGCTGGATAAATAATATGTCACAAATACAACTAATACAATACAAAATTGCATAAAAAAAAAATACGTTGCTACGTTTCAGGCCTCAGTTCGACCAAAGCCAAAGGTAAGTCATTAGTAATATTTATATAACGTAACTTTTCTTGGCCTTTTGCTAACGTAAACTTAAGATGCTAAATCAAGTTGAATAATAATTAAATCGTCAAAAAGCATCTGTCATTGTCGAAAAGGTGTTAGCCGGTTCGACTGCATATCAGGTATTCATTTATAAATGAAATTGATATTTAAAACTCGTCAATCGCAAAAGAAAGGAGTAACGACTGCTTAGACAATATATGGATGTTTAAAAGGAAAACCCTAATGAAAAATGAAACCTTTGGCCATCATCCGACAAGGAAGGGAAGTGAGATAATGAATTAAAATCAAGTATCAGACAAAAGTTAACATGCAAATGTCTGATGAAAGAAGATTTTCAGACGGAATTATGCAGCAAGGCAGGTGTTCAAATAATATTGAAAAACTGATCTCGGCATCTATTGCCGATGAATCTTTACATGTATATAGATACAAAAAGTCGAGAAAAAAATTTTAACTGATCATTTTTACGTTAACTGCACTGATCGATGGGCGGGAAAGTTATATTAGGGGTATAGCATATTTCGATTGTAGTTGGCATTTGGAAAACGGGAAGACTAATATTGAGATATACAGAAATTTTATGTCTCAGACTATATTGAGCAAAGGTCGGCAGTTTTTTTTTGTGATATTCAGAATGGGACGTATGTCTTTGCCTGCTTTCTGCTATTATACGATATACACGCGACGTATCATGTCTCATGATTATGAAACTCTGTCATGAAACTTTATCCTATATAACTCACATGACTGAATACCGGATATTGAATATATTCAATGCCGGCCAGTACTCTTTTATATTCCGGCATACACCCATATTCAGGAGCAAAAACTCATTGGCTTTTCACGACATTATATTCAATTTCATTCAGGCTACCGTAATATTTGGATTCACTGAGATTTACTGACACATGCAATAGTGTAGGGAATGTTAGGCTGAGAGATAAGTAGAACGTATGGTCAATATTGAATTAGTAAGTTCCCTTGGATATTGAATTAATAGTACGTTCCCTTGAAGTCAACAGTACGGTACAGTACACTAGTACAGTACAGTACAGTACAGTACAGTATACAGTACAGTACAGTACAGTACAGTACAGTACAGTACAGTACAGTACACTGGTACAGCATGATGGTAACTGGTACAGCATGATAGTAACTGGTACAGCATAGTAGTACACTGGTACAGCATAGTAGTACACTGGTACAGCATAGTAGTACACTGGTACAGCATAGTAGTACACTGGTACAGCATAGTAGTACACTGGTACAGTACAAATCTCTCACTTTGCTTTTTGTCTGTTTTTTCGATCATGAAAATCGTGAACATATTTGGCGGGAAAAAACTCGTTTAATTGAACGAACCCTGTCAGAAATTTCAACGTTCACTGTTGAGTGTTGTGTTCATTATTTGCGTCAACTCGGAAAATTAAGAAATCAAAAAATCAGTAGAATGTAAAAGATAAATTGTTCACAAATTATTCATGCCCATGTAAACAAAACACTTCACAGTATTAATCTTTGTCGCCTTAATTTTAATATCTATTCTCTTTCATTTGTATTTCAGTAACTAATTCTGACAAATGCGAGTTGCAAAAAAGCTTAGACCGGAACACAACAACTGAAGACGAAAAAATCACTAGGGGAAATGTAACATCTGACCTCAACTTTCCGACGGACAAACTAGGCAATTGTAATCATTTTATTCATGAGCCTGAAGAGCTGTCAGCATTATATGACTCGAGACTTCATTTCCCAATTATTTCTCCTATGTTTGACAACAAAATGGCATCCAGCACAACGCAACTTATAAATGACAAAGACTTAAAATTAACCGTTAACGACGAGACAGAAACGCTGACTGAAGAAGATGACTTCGATGGCAAAATGCTGTCTTTACAAGCTTTGGACGAACTTGAATCGGATTTGAGCAAAAACAAATATTGCACTGATGCAGATGTTTTAAATGCACTGTGTGTGTTTTCAGAAAGAGCGAGTCCTGTGAGTAACGCTGATTTGGGAACAGAAACCACGTGTAAGTCTTAAATCATATGGTTGATTGCAATTATTAATTCTGGTTAGTTTTCTTTCCACAGTATTTACTTGTGCCAATTGGCAGTGGAAATGTTATGCGGAAAACAACTTGATTCAATTTACAAATTCAAAGCACAGTTATCTTAATCTGATTGAGAAGAAAGCGTTTGAGAATGTATAATTTTTTTAACATATGTATTTTCAAATCTATCATCAAAGTTATCTATGCTATCTTATTTGAGGCCTTGACACCCATAATTAAAACAAAAAATAGCAGAGAACACGCCATTTAGGTTTGTGCCAAAGACAAGTAATAATTTGGTCCTTGCCTACCTAATGGGCTATGCAGCAGCCAATCAAATGACTGAAAAAACAATCGCTGGATCTGAAGTGAAATGCTAACTTATATGCGTGACCAATAAGCGTTTGCCTTATTTAGTAAATAGTAATAGCCTGAGCACCCACTTGATATTAAACATTACAGGATTTTGGGCATCTCAATCGATTGAACTAATAATTTTGAAGGAATTTGTAGATGGGAATTTGGAGAGTGAATTTATACATTTATCTTTAGACCCAGACAGAAGCAGCTGCGAAAAATGCAACTATAGACCCATTGCACATGACGTCACAGCGCCGGTGACGATGTATCTGCAGGACAAATTAGCAATCTGTGCATGATATAACTTTTGTAAACTAAACAAATTTTGTAAAAGTTTATAATAATTTTGTATTAGAATGGTTAATTTTTGTGCTGTATGTGGTTGTGGTACCCGAACAGATATTGTTAGGGAGCAGTTTTGTGACGTCAGTGCAATGGGTCTATATGCTCTCGTCGCTCTGACAGGAATCCTCCTACGATAATTTTACCAGAAAACCTCTCCAGACTACAAGAAACACATTGGCAGCATTTTAGGTTCCTCGTAATTATTATAGCAGAGTAGTTCTGCATTTTCCAGATGTATTTTTTCACTCAATGGTTACCAGCCCCCCCCCCCCCGAATATTTTAAAGTCTCTTTAAAGATAGCAAATGAAGTGATGTAATTTAACTGAGTTGTAGCAAAGTTACTTCATCCATGAAGTCTGATATTGTATTTGCTAAGCAATAAATATAATAATAAATTTGAACCAGAATAGGTTGATGACAGTTCAACTTTGGCTGCAAAAAATTGCCCAAAGATGTTGGCAACCCAACCTCGCTTACCGTTACTCAGTGTAACGTAATGTTCTTGTAGTTTTTGTACTGCATGAGCAGCCAGAGCCCAGAGCCAGCCAGCATATTTATACAATAACCCTGCGAGGTGCAGCGCTCTAACCAACTGGCTACCGAGACATATGTTACTTGTAATTTTTTGAAAATTTATACTTGAATTAATTTCCATCTACTAAATCTACTAACTACATAACAACGTACAGCTAATTATTGAGTTTTCTCACCAACTCTGCAAACTAACCTTCACTCACTGCTATTCAGCCTGTACTTGGTATTAGTTCAGGGCTAGTTTTACAACATAGCTTTCTATAATTTTATATCTCGCCACACCTTGCAGCTCAATATAGTTTCTTGGAAAAAGTCAGCAGCATTATTCAATCTGAAGTGTTTCCTGACAACAGTTCTGTGAATTCGCTGGAGTACTGGAGTGATGAAGAGGGACAGTATCTACCACAAATGTCCCTTAGTCCTCTGCCTGGTGAACCGACATTTCGCAAGACGACACAAACGGTAAAAGAACCAAAAAAATATGAAGAAAAAGAATATTTAAGAAACTTGAAAACAAGTGACTACGTTGAGGTATTATAAATATTAATGTAACAAGCAAGTTTCGCGATTCCTTCTCGCCCAGTTCCATGTTGGTTAGTCTAAACCTAGGACCTTTGCTCGGCTGCCGTTCGTAGGTTTGGTCAATTTTAGGCTAGAATTTGGTAAGTTTGACGTCACATACACTTTCGCCCTTCCACCGCCCCGTCCCCAAATAGCCTGGGTCCCAATCTTCTCACATCAAAAAGCGCTGAAATCAATTAAAAATAGAAGGCCTTAGCTTTTCTTTGCACAGTTTATCCAGATAGATAATCTGTCTCTATATTATAGTTCGGATCAATGCAAATTCTCTTCCCAAACCAATCTTGCAATCTTTTTATTAATTTCCACATACGATTCAAGTATAATAGGAATAATATAATAGATATGTAAAAATTGATTATTTTGGAATCTAAGGATCCACTCAAATCAGATAATGTACCAAGAACCCAGCTGAAGCGACCATCCATGAGAACCCTAAGTCCTATAATCTCCAAACATTCCCCTTACCCCTCATATTCCCACAAGAACCAAACTGCCCCTGACGTCATTGAAAGTACCTCACAAAACATCATCCCATCATTTCTCATCAACTCCACCGAAAATGTTGCAAAGTCTATGATGTCGTCACAGCCATATAACTGGAAGCCAAGAGCGCCAGATGATTGGGCAATATCGTCACCTTCACTGGTTCGACCCACCATAGCAACACCTCCAAGGACGCGGAAAAATAAACAGTCCAGTGCATCGACAGAGATCTTCGGATTAAATTACAGTAGCAGAATGAAAGAAGATAAATTATTTGAAACGCAAAGGTAAGGGGAAATGTAGGGAATAAAATACCATGCTTATTAATAGTCCAGATGATTCTTTAGCTCTTCATAATGGAATAAGTTCAAATCAAATAATAGCTACTATTAATAGACAACCACTGTATATAAGCTATTCTGCAATATGATTGGCTCTCTACTAGCAGGATTTAGCTAATATCCTGCCAGTAGAAAACAAACGATGGCACCTCAAAAATTACCGGAGTAAGTAAAAAGTGAGTAAAACAGCAAGTTATTCGCTTTTACTAGCATTAAGAAAAATTAAAACAGAATGAAAATACTCCCGGTAATTGTATATTTATTGTATTCTTATATAATAATACACATGAAAAAATTACTCGATTCTGATTGGATAAGAGGAGTGAATTTTATCGAAATCCGGGGCCACTGTAAAGAAAGATTTATTGAAACAACGAATAAATTGGTTATCTCAGATTCAAAATAAACCCATTCCTTGGTTGTTTTAACCAATCTGTTTTTACAGTGATGAAGTGTAATACAGTTCCAAAAAAAGAATTGGAAAACATTTTGATTTACTCTAATTGGTCATCTGACATTATATAAAAACTTGTATTAATAAGTAATTGTTGTGTTATTCAAATGAGCGATGAGTAAATTCCCATGTGTTTCACGCCATGAATTCAGTGCTTTTGCATAATCCGATCTTTCATGTACGTTATTGCACTCGTGAGTTTTTCAAAGACTCAAATTACACTCATTTTCCCGGCAAACCGCACTCGAAACCATATTACCATACTATAACCTGTACAAATTACTCTTATAGATGTTCAATGCCAAGAAGAAAAGTATCCCGATCTCAGTCAAGTAACACGACAACAACGAAACTGTTTCCTGTAATATCAGGTATTGCGAAGACTCAAGCAACAAGCAAGAGTATCTCTGATTTCAGGCAATCTTCCAGTACGTAGACTTTATTCTCGTATTAATTTTATAAATATGATTAAAACCGTTGAAAGGTCTTTGACGTGCCCAGCCCTATTGAAACGCCTTTAGAAAATTTAATATAGATTGTATAATTATTACGATTAAGTATTTGAAGTACACTACTCGGAAACTATTTCTTTCAAGTCCTTCGGCTAACGCTTCTTAATCAAATATGCCACTATAAATATGGATGAGGATCTACAAACATGCTTTTACATGGCTTTTTATAGGTATATTTGGGAAACTTGTTAAGAAAAACATTGTAAAAGAGAAAGCAAATGATAAGAAAAAAGACATTGGTATGTATACCCTGCCTTTGAACGATGTATAGGGTATAGTGTTTTCCATACAGTGTGAATTACCTCATTCATTTTGCCTTGCAAATTTGTAACCCCACGACTAGCTAAATATTTTTTTAAATTTTATTCCGTCTAATGCCAAACGAACATACTTAGTAAGTGTTAATGGAAACATCTCAAACTCATTATTGTATTGGTGTCCCCTAGACTATTTGCTTAAATTGAAATCATAATTACATTCTAGTATATTAATTCTACCCTGGAGCTAGCCTGCATGGCAGGCGGTATTTCTACGGGCAGCGAAAATTAGGGAAGCAAAGGAAATACCGCCTGCCATGCAGGCTACCCTGGAGCAGGGGGTTCCTGTTTCACTGAAGCTGTAGCCTGCACTCAGGCGCCGCTGGCCAAGCTTGGAGTAGTCAAGCTTGGATCCTAAAGGCCCATTTACACTTGTAATTTTTGCTGCGATTTTCTTCTTCTGATGCATGGAAACGAATAGATGAGTTATGATATTCTGAACCTATGGTATAGGACTATAGCCTCATCTGAGCATTCATAACTCATCCAGTCGTTTACACCCATCAGAAGAAGAAAATCGTAGCAAAAATTGCAAATGCAAACAAGCCTGAAAACTCGCACCAGAAAACCTCTGAACCCAGAGTAAAAGTATATTGACGACGACGGACTTCACTGACGTGAATAATCGGCAATATCTTTCTTAGATTCAAATAAACAAAGCAAAGCTACGGACTCAACGTCGACAGGTTCATCACGAAGTAAAGTAGGAGAGACAGCAAGAAGAAAGTTAAGAAGAGTTTTAAGTCTTCATTGAATGAAGAAACAGAATGAACACGATGAAACAGAATGAACACGAGAATGAGTGATTAAGAATGATTGAGTGAATAACAAGAAGTTAGTAGGTTTTCTGATTGGTTTCCTGAAACAAAAGTGATCATTTTTTATGAATATTCTTTAGAAAGATGATCGCCGTAGTTTCAGGGTTGGTAGGTTGAAAAAGTAGCCAAAGTAGAATAGAAGTCACCGAAGTAAAAATTGAATCAACTTGCAAAACTCGGTGCTTTATTTCAAAGTAATCAATACATTTTCAAAACATTTTTATAAACAGTGGCGGAACTGCTAAAAAGAAGCCAAAAGGACAATCTACCAACCCTGTATATGTGTGTAGTTTATTTTCTTGTCTGACTGTTCATAACACATATGGGGCAATCCTCTATATAGCGAACAGGATCAATGTGAACATTTTTTCAGAACATGCTTGACTCATAAGACATATAAATATGTATTCCTTTAATTAAACCATAAAATAATTGCAATCTTAATTAATTGTCTCTGCCAGTTTTATCAAACAGACACGCTCTTTATTATTAACTTAAAACATTACAAATCTTATATAAAAAGTGTCTTAAAAAAGACTTGAAATTACAGCTTGATCTGCTTTAAACTTGGAGAGTTTTCCCGCCAAGAGTTTCAGATTGTCAGTATCAAAATGGGAAAAGACGTTAACATCAGTGAAAACGTTCAGGCACTTTTTTGCGCGCAAACTCTCGCACAATGACGTCACAACATCTTTAAGTCGACTTCGAAATTTCTCTGGTGTCCAGTACTTTGGTTGTGGTCGCGTTTTAAATTCAACCAATAATATGGTTTGTAAATGGTAACGTAGTAAGCGACCTCTAGTCTCCCAAGACTGGCAAACCCGCGCGCACAACCTGTCTAGGATGTACAAACAATGCTTGGCGCACAAAAATTGAGGATTGTTAAAAATCCTGTTTTCTACATCGTTGAAAGTGATTCGCCATAGGAGCTGCTGATCTGTACAATTTGGTTTCGCTACTAAGGAAATCGTATCAACATTCGCGTCAGGCAAATGAAAACACTTAAAAACACTCTGGATTTTTTTGTCCAGCTTTCTGAACGGTTCCATAGAACGACGCATGCGTATCATCGGTAAAAGATGCACGCGGAATCTGGTGGAAGGATCCAGACGAACGAACAGACTGATTTGGTCTGGCCAAGAGCGACATGTGATAGAACGTTGTTGGTTCTCTTGTGACATTTCGAGGATGGAACGTTGGATAACATCGAACAGGGAATTAAGTAGCTTTGTTGTGCTAAGACAACGTCCCATGGTCGGGTCTACGGTGATGATATCTTCCCAGCTCGCCATATCAGGCCTGAAAAATTGGAAGGAGTATGGATGAATGAAAGATTGATGAAAGTTAATGAATGATGAGAGTTGATCATAGTCTATGAAAATCGATGAAAGTTGATTAGAACTGATGAGAGTTGATGATAGTTGAAACAGTTTAGTAGAGTCGAATGCAGTGCGCGAGACTTGATGAGAAAATAGCCAATGGAATAAGAAGGTTAGGAAATGCGATGCAGAAATAGTCTTATTATATAAATTATCTATGTTTTTGTCTTGGTTTAAGCAAAAAAATGTGTATTTGCCCCCGCCCCCCCAACCAACCAACCAATAGCAGTGTGTTGGTTTCATTACCCGGTCGTGATATTACACAATGGTTTAATAAAAACATAGCTATTAGTTGCAAAATTGCAATACACACATGACGATGAACCGACCATTTCTTGCATAAACCAAAACATAGATAATGAGGTATAACCAAAACATAGATAATGAGGTATATCTGAAAGAGTTTCCTAACATTCTTATTCTATTGACTATGATGAGAATGAGTCTATATGTAGAGTATGAGCCGGAGTTCGTGAGAGTTGATGAAAGTTGATGATCCAACAATTATGAATGTGTTTGCATTTTCATTTCTTTTATCATCGACTCAGTCTCGTGCGCTTTCATCAACTCTCATTAATTTTGAACAGGTTCAATGATGAGATGATTTCATCAACTCTCAGGTTCAATGATGAGATGATTTCATCAACTCTCAGGTTCAATGATGAGATGATTTCATCAACTCTCAGGTTCAATGATGAGATGATTTCATCAACTCTCAGGTTCAATGATGAGATGATTTCATCAACTCTCAGGTTCAATGATAAGATGATTTCATCAACTCTCAGGTTCAATGATGAGATGATTTCATCAACTCTCAGGTTCAATGATGAGATGATTTCATCAACTCTCATCAACTTTGAACAGGTTCAACGATAGAGACTTTGCTACGCGTATCCAGTGAACTCTCGCCAACTCTCATATATGCAACTCTTGTTCTCGATTTACCATAGGATTAGAGTTGAAATCATTCTCAATTAATTCCAGCAAAAGTTGGGTCATGCTTTTAAGGCCCATTTCCACTCAAGAAAAATTTCCACGAACAGAAAATTTTCCGACGGAAATTTGTGTCGGCCAATCAAAATTTTTTTCCGACGGAAAATTTGTGTCGGCCAATCAAATTTTACAAAATTTTCTTTCTGTGGAAAATTTTCCTGAGTGGAAATGGGCCTTTATTGAACGTATGGAAATACATGACCCAACTTTTGATGGAATGAATTATCATAATTACCTTGTGGTATAGTGATCAGCAATTCTAATCATGACAGCACCACTGGTGACGTCACCTTGCAATATGCAGCTCTGCATTGGAAAGTCTTTCATAGTACACAGCAAGTTGACTTCATTCTTCGACATAACTTCACAACGACAGTCGTCCAATGAAATCGGGTCAAAATGAAATCTGACGTCATAGTCACTCATGGTCATGAAGAGATCATTAATACATGCTGCTGCTTTGTTGAACTGCTGGCGCATCCTTTCCTCGCTATGTCGCAAGTGAAAGTTCACGGCTCTGAAAATGCCGATCTTACTGTTCGATGGCATTTTGAAATATAAATTGTTTCACAAATTTTAATTAATTTGACATGTTGACTGTATAAAAATGTTATTACTTCGTCTACCGTATAACGAGGAGGCTAATGCTATCTGCTTTCACCGAATCAGTCAAATCATGTACTCTGCGCCTCAAGATTTCTCCACACCTTAAATAATTGTAGTCTCCTTCACAGCCTCACGAGTGGAGAAACGACACAAAGAGCGGCTGCGAGGGAGACTAAAATAATAGACCTGTATCTTATGAAACGCGGAAAAAACACTTAGTGCGATGTCCCAAGGGACAACTTTGAGCGACATAATGACGTTACAAGGCTTGATGCCCGCGAGGAATGCTGGTCTTAGTAGTCATCGCCCGGGAAAATTAAACAATTCAAAATGTCCACTATCGAAATTTTCTCAGACGATGACTGCTAAGACCAGCATTCCTCGCAGGCATCAAGTCTTGTGACGTCATTATGCATAAGGTCTATTCGCCATGCATGCGCAAATGCTGTTTTTATCAAATTTATTGGCTCGCCAACGATTTACATTGTCCTGTGGCCAGTGTGGGACATCGCATAAATTGGTTTTCCGCATTTGACGTCATTATAAGAAAGATCCATTGCAGCTTAGGGACCGGGTGGCACCGAAGAGAAAAGGGTTGGGCAAACAAAATTTTGAGTGAGTCAAAGCCAAATGTTGGGTAAATGAAAACAAAACAACTCGAGCGTTGTGTAATAAAAAATTATTGTTAATATTTCCAAAGCATGACTCACTCAAATATTGAAGACTAAACCCTAGACTCCTACTGGTATGTAAATCAATCAGATTCATTATCTTGACATGCATTTTCCGATTTGTCAGGAGGCAAATGGTGTCAAAAGAAAGTACATGTGCAGACAACATCACACTTTACCGCACTGCAGAAGTGTACAAGCAGTTATCAAACTCATGCATGTCACAGAAGTGATAAAGGGCATACGAGGCAACTGAATGGTATATCTTTTGTAACGTTTTTGGCCAGAGGTGACTATTTTTTAATTGATATTTGAGTTTTTGAAATTGAGTAAATTGCCGGATTGGATCAGCAAAATTTTTACCAAGAAAAACATTTCTCTTCGATGCCGCCCCCGCCATAAATAATGACCGGTACCTTCACAATAAACGGGTCATTTTCATGTTAAATGTATGTTCTGATGCCACTTAGTAACAAACAGAACTTTTTACAAATGTTACATTTTAGCAATTCTTTCAGTTACTGAAATACAAACATATAGCCAAGCCACAACTGGCATATTTCAAATTCAACAGCCATGTTTTAACAAAGTTTTCATTTTCAATGCAACAATATATCTTGATATACAGCCGATATACAGCCGGTAAAAAACAAGTTGTTGCAACCTTGATGCGTTAAATTGTTATCACATCATTAAAAGAAGATGAAAACAGCCGATTGCCGACAATACTATATATATATATACTGTCATTAAAACTTTTGAATGTAGAAACACAAACGAAAATATAAGTTCAATTTGCTGTAATAAGTCACTAATGACAGCTATGATCGTGACTAAAACACCACACGAGTACATACGAGTAACATACGAGTAACACACAAGTACATACGAGTACATACGAGTAACACACGAGTACATACGAGTAACATACGAGTACATACGAGTAACACACGAGTAAAACACAAGTACATACGAGTACATACGAGTAGAATACGAGTACATACGAGTAAAATACGACTAGTAAACTTGTTTTTAGTGTTTGTAGATTGAATACAGGCAAAAAGATCGTCTTCTCTGTCGAAAAACGTGGAATGGGGGAACGGGGAATGGAGGAACAGGGAATGGGGGGAACGAAGAACGGGGAATGGAGGAACGAGTAACGCGAGGGGAGGGGGATCGAGCAATTATGAATTATTATTAATACGTAATATTAATCATATGTACGGGGGGGAGAAGAACAGAAAAAAGAAACAGAAATTCGACAGGATAAACGGGAATCGGGGAATTACGAAACTATAAAACGGAAACGGACTCTGGTGTCTTGAGAATTAGAAAACCGCTCAATGAATTAAAACTAGTAAAGAAATTTGGCGAAGCTTTCCTTTATTAGTACAGCGTATCATAAAAAAGTCAATCCACATTGCTTTATGTCCGATCATTAAGTAATATTAATAATAATAACATTGCTCATGTCATTACTAATATACTTGC